AAAAAAAATGTGCAAAATGATGTAAAAATAAACTTTTTAATAAAAATAAAAAAAATAAAATATATATGCCTATAGCAAAATATACAAATATCGCTATGTGTGTAGATGGATTAGAATATGCACATATTTCCTAGCTCTGTACACTGAGATGGCCTAGTCAACAACTACATGCTGGTAGCAATGAACATTTTTTCAACAGGGGCTGAGCAAGAAAAAGCAAGGAAGTACTTCAAAAAAATTAAGGGGGTGGGGCCAAGTCAAAAGGACATGGAAATAAATCTTAAAGCAGCACCTACTGGCCAAATGCGAGACCATTTACCTGTCAAATGTAATGCTAGTGATTGATTTTATTTAACATTTTTTATTTAATTAAGAAGTAAGAATTTCATCACTCCCTAGCCAGCTATCTGATCTTTTTTGTCTTGCTCTTGAAAGGATACATTTATTTCCCCCATGACTGGTTTAATTTATAGAATTAAATGAGGACATGTGCATGTACTGATATATGACATATGATAAATGGGGGAGAAGAGAAAGCTCTTGCTTACAGTAGGATAGTAATGAAGAAGTATCAAAGGAAGGTTGGTGTTGGAAAATCAAGGATGGTTGTTGAATCTAATGTTTCATATAGAGAGAATGAAAAAATAACAAAGGTGGCAAAATGTAAACAATTGATTTATGTTTGTAAAAGTTACATTGTGCATGGATGCAACAATCTTCCCAACAGTGTTCTTGAGATTTACAGCTATACTGTATGCAACAGGACTCAACTAAGACGCCAAATCAGTAGATGCATATTTTAAGGAAGTCCTTTTGAGGAATTGGTTTACCTAACCAGGAAGCCAGCCACACTTTGATCCTCAACCATGAACTCCTGAATCTTATATAATGTTATAATGCAATGAAATGTTTATATGAAAAACTAAAAACAGGAAAAATAAAGAGTACATCTACAAAGTCCACTCACAAGAAAAATAAAGTTACATTGTATTTCCTTGTACCACTCTCGCTTTTCCGTATGTTTAAAATAATATCAAAATTAAGTTACCACCCACCCACTCCCCAAAACCAAACAAAACAGGAAGTGTTCTCACTGGTATGTCGTCGCTAATCACTTTCTATTTTTTCCCTTGCCCAAATAAAAACTGCTTGGGTGGCGAGGTTTGCAAAGGGGGTCAGAAAGAGAGGCTTATAGTGCATTTTAATAGTTATTTGAATGTTCCTCGGATTTCACCATCCTGTTTTTGTTCTGCTCTTTTCAGAAGCCTTTTCGTTTGATGCACTGTCATTCTTTCCTATCAGGCTAGCCCTTTTACCTAACCAGACGGACAGGATCACGTTAATAAAATCATCATCAAATCTTAAAAAAAAAGCCAAAGGCTTCACAGGAGGCCCCGGGATTTCCCTTTGATCAGCCAGAGGAGGGCGGGAACAAGACCCAAGCGCAGCTTCCGCTTTCATTCCTGCGGTTAAGTCAACCTTTCTCATTAAAGGAGCACCACGGAAGGGTGATTTTCTGTCGGAGGACACTTCCCTCGCGACGAGACCACTCATGACACAGGGATTCCGTAGTGTCCTATCAGAATGGGTGGTCTATGAGAGCTCAAAAGCCATACCAAGGGACACCGATGCTGGCAAAACACTAAACTACAATTCATCTGATCTGTCAGTTTGATTCTCCTCTCTCCGTCTCCAAAATGCTGAACTTCCGGGGTGGACTCCTACCCCTCCATTCCAGACCAGTGGTTTGGTCCAACTCGCTGCCTGACAGGAGGGACGAGCTGCGTCTGCGCCGCAAGCTTTCGGGGGGTGGGGGGGAAGGAACATGGCGCAAGCTCTATCTGAGGAAGAGTTTCAGCGGATGCAGGTGCCGCTCTCCAGGGAAAAAGACCACCGGGCTAACGACTGGGGGGTGCGGGGTAGACAGAGATCCTCCTACCGGCTCGGAGAAGCGGTTGGCTGGGTTGGATGTGAAATCTCAGGGGTTGATCTGAGGAAGGGAAACTGAGGCAGTTAGTGGTGAGACTGCTGGATTTCGAGATACTCGGGTTCTCAGGGTTTGGATTCTGTTAGTCTTGTGGGTGTGGAGAGGAGATCCTGGAGTGGGTGATACTTTACTCAGACCTGAAGGGGACGAGACCTTTGGACCCGTGCAAGGGACACCTTGGGTGGGTGATGATAATGTTGAGCTGGAAGGGAAGGCGATCCTGCGAGGGCGAAACCATTTTGTCTGGAGAGGAAGGAAGCCGGTGTAGGATCGTTTGCGTCATGGTGCGGGGAGCCCATGAGAAGGCAATACCATTACCCTGTGTGAGGTGGAATTTTTTGTGGAAGATACCACTATGATAGGGAGTTGGGGAAAGACCCCACATGTTGTCATTGTTCCTGAAAGTCGGAGATACTGTGTGAGCAATTGGTCATGGGTCCTAGGAAGGGGCGGTGCCATTGGATGACGAGGGGTGGACCTGGGGTAAAGAAAGCCCTGAATGGGTAATACTTTGGGTAATACCATTAATCCCTGTAGAAGAGAGGACCTGAAGAGGTGAAAGGGTGACACCTTGCACAGCATGGAGGAGAGGTCACAGGGCTTTGGGTACTACCTTGACTGGGTACAGTGTCCACTTGATTCTTTGGGGGGTACTCTGAGATGGAATAAAGAGCATAGCATTGCATCGTGAATGAACTCTTGCAGAGACAAGGGGTTTATGTGTGGAAGTATTTGGGGGATGATCTTTTGGTTTTGTGATGGAGAGACTCTAAAAGGGGGATCCCCTTGTGTAGGGTCCTGTAGAGGGAAAAAAGGAATTCCAAGTAAGGACAGGTAATCCATGGGTTTTTGACTAAGGGAAACCAATTGTCCCTGTGTGAGGGTTGCTTTGGAGGAGAGGTGAGATCATTGGGCCATGAAAGGGGAAGACTCCTATCAACTGCAGGGGATTCTAAGTGAGTGAGAATAATCCAACTGGCCCACCCAAGGCTTTGTGGAGGAGAGACTCTAAAAGGTGCCAAGCTATCCCATTGGAACATAACTGGGGAGATCTTGAGGAATGTCAGGGATGTTTGAGTAAGGAATATCTGGCCTCCCTCACCAGTGAGGGAAAAAACATTGGGCTCTGATAGCTAGGGAATCTCAGTGGGTGCCAAGGGCATTCCAATTGGCTCACACTTGGAGAGTTCACTGGGTCCTGGAGTGGACAAGGGTAGGAAAGGTTCTGTAGAGGCTAAGACCTCTGACCTTTAGTAGACCACCAGTGAGTGGAGGCTGATGTCACAGGAGGGAGGGGAAGATATTGGTGGATAAGGGCCAGTGCGTCTGGGAAGAACTGGTCTCAGTGCCCTACAGAGCTGGTAGGTAGGGGCATGCTGTTTGGAATAGCCCCAATTTCACTTTCCTTTAATTTTCAAAAGGGGCCTGGACATGTTTGGAGAGCCTTGGAGATGGGGACCCCAGGAAACTCCTACTCCATGAGAATTGGGCAGAATACCAGCTCCTTTTCCCTTGGGAAAGCAGGAGTAAAGGAAGCCTATCTCCCACCCTTAAGGGCTTCCAAATCTGGCCAAGAAGATAGACAATGCTCACTCTTGACAGGAGGATAGTCACAACAGTGTTTATAGTGTGTGATGAGGTCAGCCAAGATGAGGCGGAGGAACTTTATCCTGTGGGTGTGGAGAACCATGGAACACAGCGAGAGTCTGGCTGGGACAGTGTGCTGTCATGGCCTGAGTTCATAGTGCATTGGAAGTGATGAGATGAAGGCAGCAGGGAGATGGAGGGGTGAGGTTGGCTGTGGTTTTAAACAGCTGAAGGAGGAGGGTCAGGGCCTGAGGGTCTGGATGCTCATGAAGGGTACAGCATGCCAGGCCTTAGGGAGTCACTGAAGAGGCACATCGAGGGTTGCAGGGTTTGTGGGGCTCAGGGGATTGTTCCCTCATGGTGATGATAGGGCACATTCCCAACCAAGCCCTTTTCTTTTCCTGCTTCCCCATAAGGCTCAGCTCCTGGAACTCCGGACAAACAACTATCAGCTTTCAGACGAACTACGGAAAAATGGTGTTGGTAAGCTAAGAGTCTTATTAGGTGTGGGTGGCTTCAGGGGACAGAGGCTTGAGGGCAGAAATCTCAGAGGCCTGGCAGGAAGATCTGTCAGTTCCCTGCCACTGACTGAGGCTGAAACCCCTGCTTTCCCTTTCCCTACACCAGAGCTCACCAGTCTTCGACAGAAGGTTGCCTACCTGGACAAGGAATTCAGTAAAGCTCAGAAGGTACCTTCCTCCCATTCACCCATCCATACTTTCCTGTAGTTAGCTGACTCATGCACCTATCCCATGAGCCAGAGCTAATGTTATAGCTCTGAGGGTCTGGATGCTCTTTAAGTGAACCAGAGCTAATGTTATATGCTGTCATTAGTCATTCAAAAAGTTCTCATGGAGATCCTTCAGTCTGCTAATTTTATCTGATCTTGCTTGATTTATTGACACATTTCAATTTCCTCTTAATTCATTTTTTAATTCCAATTACTTATGCATTCTCATTCACTAATTTCTTTTAAAAAATATTTATTTATTTATGCATACAGAATTGGGGTACAGGTCAGAGGTACAGAGGGTGAGGCAGAGTGGGGAGCAGAACAGGCAGATCTACTGAAATACACTGCTGAGGGAGACAGCGGGCAGGTCAGGAGAGGCATGCCACACCATGTGGGTCAGTTCCCTGGCCGGGATCGGACTCGTACTGCAGTGGCTATGGGTAGTGCCACCAGGGAGGGCCCTCATCCACCAATTTATAATTAAATAGTCAAATCAATTGGTAAATCTACCTTCAATATGCCTTCTATCCTCCACTTCCACTGCTGCCTTATGCTCCTACTTCCCATCCCTGTCCTGAGCCTACTGGTCAAATACTAAGCCGAATTCCCCCCCTCTAAAGATGAGATAGCCCATAACCTGTTGTGTCCACACACAGAACACAATGCTTTGTTCCCACATGGACACAGTGTTATACATAGTATATTTTCCATAGATAATTTGCTCCACATAGACACAATGTTATACATCGTATATTTTCCATAGATAATTTGCTCAACATAGACACAATGTTATACATAGTATATTTCCCATAGATAATTTGCTCCACATAGACACAATGTTATACATAGTATATTTTCCATAGATAATTTGCTCTGTGAGGGAATCTAGAATACAGTTTCCTGGTCAGAAAGCACTCTCCTAGGTAGAATGCTGATTTCCTCAGTTTGGCAGTGCTCTTGGCTGCCCAGCAGAGGAGTGGCAGTTTTCACAGACAAGTTTGGACGGTTAGCAAAGAAACCACAATTTCTGAGTCCAGAGATCCAGCCCATGAAGGGTTAAATAGTAATACCCACGGAGCTGAGAGGAAAGTATGATAGGAGTTTAGAGGAAAGTATGTTTATTTCTATGCTGTGGCACCAAAGCAGGATCCCCTTCATTCGTTTACTCAGTCACTCCATCAGTCCTGTGAGTTACAGATTGTCACGCAAGTTCATGGTTGAAGACATACCCATTCTGCAACCTGTCATTCTTGTCCCCCCTTGACACTTGCCACATAGTCTCCGTGTCATAGTGAGGGAGTCCATCTCTGTTCACCTTATCTCTTTTCCCACTCCTTTACCTTTAGGCACTGAGCAAGAGCAAGAAAGCACAGGTAAGGGGACCCATGGCAGGTAAATGTATTTGGGAAACTGTCTGAGCTGGAATCTCCTTGTACTGGCTTTTTTTTTTCTCTCTGTGTATGCTCTTCTCTGACTGTCTCACTGCCAAGTGTCTCTGTGTCTGTCTTTGTTTTCCTGTGTTTTTCACCATGTATCTTTCTTTATGTCTTTCTTTCTCCCTTTTCCTCTGCCCTTCTCTCTGAATCTCTGTCTCTGTTCTTTCCTCACTGAGTATTGTCTCTCCCCAACCTTCTTGTCTCTTTCTCCCGTTCCAATAACTGTGATCATTTCTCTCTTCTCTTCTCTTTCTGTCTCCGCATTTCTTTATCTTCCCGACTCCTTTCTTTCCCTGCTTCCCTCTGCTTTTTGTCCTGTTCTCTGTCTGTCAATCTATTCCTATCATTCTGTCTCCCTGCTTTTTCTTCTTCCTGTCTCTCATTCCCCGTGTCTCCTCCTTCCCTGTCTATACCCCTTCCCCATTTCTCCTTTCTCTTTCCTCTATTCTACCTACCCCTCTTTCCTATCACTCTCCCTCCATGTTTCCCTTCTTTCTACCCTTGTGTCTCTGTCTCCCTTTTTAAAAATAATATAATAGTTTATTTTTACATCATTTTGTACATTTTTTTTTCATCAAAGTTGTAATCCCCATGGGTTTCCCATCACCAAGTCACCCGTGTGCCTCTGTCTCCCTTTTAATCTCTCCCTGTATGTCCTGATTTCACCTTTCTCATTCTCGCACCTATGTTCTTCGCCCTACCATATCATTTGCTCCCTCTCTCTGTTTCTTTGCCACGTTTCCCCATCCTTTCTGTCCTTGTTGGAGACCTTGTCCATGTCTGCCACTGCAGGAAGTGGAGGGGCTGCTGAGTGAAAATGAGATGCTGCAAGCAAAGCTGCACAGCCAGGAGGAGGATTTTCGTTTGCAGAACAGCACGCTTATGGCCGAGTTCAGCAAGGTGCTGGTGCCCTGGACAGCCAAGGGGGATCTGCGGGCTAGAGATTGCCTGGGCTGAAGCTCTGAGGCAGTAGTGGGTGGTTGCACCAACGCGGGTTCTGGATCACTGTCCATGGTGCTGAAGCAGGTCCTGGCTTGCTGCTGGGGGGTGGTGGTTTGACAGATGGGCTCCCCAATATGCTGGCCTCAAAAGGCTGCAAGCTCTGGAGTCAGCTGGTTTCTGGCCAACACACTCCTTTGAGTTTTAAGTTTCCTTGTGTGTATTTTGGGACTGATGTTCTGGAACCCTAGGTTGTTGTGTGGGTGGGTAGAGGGGGGTCTTAGGTAAAGCTCTTGTGCTTAATATGGGATAGAAGGAGGTTCGAGCTGCTTTCCTTTTTCTCTTCCTTCCTTTCATCTGAGCTGATCCGGGGTTCTAGTTCTTCTAGATAATTCATCCTGGATTGGATATGCCTATCTTCTCATTCATTTTAGCATCCTGGCTGTTTCAAAATTTGCTGAGAAGTTGGAGACTTTTTTTTTTTGTTGTTGTTGTTCTTTTATCTATCTTCTGGTATCCATGGTCAGTTTTTAAAGTTTTTAGTGAAAAAAAAAATCTCTTGGCAATGAAACAGGTATTTCCAAGGCTCTAGCTAAGAATATAGTACATAAGAACTTAAGAATAAAAACAACCTTTAAAGAGGTATAATATCAGGAGAGATAATTTAGCAAATAGCAGTAAAGAGCTAAAACAACCTAGATCTTAACCTTATCTTTTACTAACTGTAACCTTGAGCATGTCAGTTAACTTGCTCATTTCCTGGTTCTCAAATGTTTAAAATGAAAATGATGATAATAACAGTACCTACCTTGTAGGGCTTTTGTGAGGACTGAGTGGGTTAATGTGAGGACTGAGTGGGTTAATGTCTAAACCACTTACAACATAGCCTTGCAGCAGTATCAGCTATGTAAGTGTTAACTACAAATAGTATCCTTTTATGATTTTTATATTTTTCCTCCAAAATATGTCCTATCTAAAAGGTTTACATCCACCCTGTAGCCCTGTTCTGCCTCTTCCCATACCACCTCCCACCTGCTATTGCCACATCCTCCTTACTGGACTCTCTGGTTTCCTTTACTAGTCCAATCCATACAGGTTGCACTGATCTACAGGTCTTACCATTCCAGCCCTTTAAGCAACACCTTTCAGTGGGTCTTTGCCCACTGTTCAGAACCCCTAATGCTCACATAACAATTGACCTTATCACCTCACTTTTCACTGCTTCCTATCTCCGGCCTTGGTGGTATCATAGTTCCTATGGGATGAGTCAAGGACAGTCATTCTTCCATAGTCTAGCTCATGTTTCCTGGAACCAGCCTTGGGATAGGCACTGGGCCAGGTATAGAGACCTCCTTCGCATTCCTACTCCTCCCAGGAACTGGATGCGCTCAGAGAGACTTGGGTTGAGGGCCTGCTTCCACTACTTATCTGCCAAGACATTTAATGTAATTGTCCCTTGAGCACGTAGTTATTGAGCCTTACTATGTGCTCTGCACTCTGGAAAGCAGTTTTGAGTAGCAAAGGATAGTACCCACTCTTGGGCAGCTTACATTCTGGGGATGGGATAGGGGAAAAAAAAAAAGATGACATAGTGAACAAATAGTAAAGAGCCGCTAGATCACGGTTATATAGGGTTTACTGCTTGCCAGGTTCTGTTTACAATAGCTGACCAATTTAATCCTTGCAATAAGCCTGTAAGATGTTATTCATATTTCTATTTAACAGATGTAGTAACAGATGTAGTAAGAGATGAAGTAATTTATCCTGAGGTCATACCACTAGTAAATGACAGAGTGAAAATTCACATCCAAGCAGTCTAGTTTCAGAATCTGTGCTTGTGATCCTATTTATTTGCCAAGGCATTTCATCTAATTGTTTCTTCAGCAAGTAGTTCTTGAGCCTATTAATTGTCTACTATAATATATGATTCAAAATTTTTCAGAGGTTTAAGAAACTAGAAACAGTTTTGGTGAATTTAATTGTGAATAGGGTTAAATAAGAAAGATACGAGCAGAGTGCTGTGTTAGAGAGTATTGGGATTTCTGTGTTGGGGGATATTACTTGTAAGGTGACATTTGAGCAGAGCAATGAAGGATGCAAAGAAGACAATAGTGTGAAGAACTGAATGAAAGAAATAGTGTTCTGAGTAGAAAATATCCCAGGCAAGAAATAATAATTCTCTGTGGACTTCAGTATTCTCATCTGAAAATGGGGACAAAGACTGCTGTGAGAACTATATTTTAGCCAGGAGTTGAGCAAGGGTCTGGCTTAGTTTTACTTATATTATACAACTCTCCAAGGCCAAAGACTGACCTTAGGGGCTGTGGGCAGTGCTGGCCCTGGACGTGCTCTCAAAGTTCTCTGTGGTGCCCAGGCTCCCAGACACAGATGAATCCACAGAGGAGGGCTGGAGAATGGGCTATCCATGGTGCTGACATCTTGGACGGGCAACTTCCAGAGAAGCCTGAGGCCTCAGATTGCTACTGTGAGGTTGAGAGTGGGCAAAGGGAAAATTGTTCTCAGTTTTCACAATCTCCTGTGACTTTGCCACTTAACAGATGTGTGAATCTGAAGTTATTTAACATCCATGCCTCAGTGTCCTTATCTGTGAACTGGGAATAATGAGTAAGGAGAGCATCTACATCACAGGGACATTATGGGAATTAAGTGAATTGTAACATGCACGCATAGCCAAGTATTATGTATATTTTAGTGAATATTGTACTGATTCTATTCTTTTCTGCTGCCTACCCTGCTTAGCTCTGCAGCCAGATGGAAAAACTGGAGCAGGAGAACCAGAAACTGAAAGAGGGTGCTGCCAGAGCAGGGGCTGCTCAAGCTGGGAGCATGGTGGATGGGGAACTGCTGAGACTGCAAGCAGAGAACACGGCCTTACAGAAGAATGTGGCAGGTGCTTGCAGGCTTTCTTGGAGATGTGTGAACCTCAGGCCTTGAGTAGGGTATTGTCCTCCTGGGGGGAAGAGAGAGGCTTCTGAGTCAGCCTTGGCCTTGCCATGAGCCAGTGTATGACTTTTGGACAAGCCATTTTACCTCCCTGAGCCAAATCTTCCTAATGTACAAAGCACATTCCCTTGAAAGTTCACAGTAGAGATGAGGTGATATCTTTCTGAGTTTATTTCAGTGCTTGGTACCTGGCAAGTATTACAGATTAACAGACTCAGCATCAAAATGGAGATGTTTACTAAATGGAACAAGTGAATGAAGGTGTTTTGGGGAGATTCAGGTTGTTAGTGGGGCCTGGGATGAAGGCTGAAAAAAAGCTTGGTAGTGTGGAGGGGTCCTGCTATCTGAGCTTTTGGTCAGCAGCTGGGGCTTGCAGGGTCGTAGTTCACTGAGCAGAAGGGAGACTTTGTATAATGTGGCTGGAGTACAGGAGGTTATAGTGAGGATTCAGCTCTACCTAGGGTGTGGTTATGGAGGGCGTGACCTTGGGAGGCTTGATGATGGAGGATGGAAACCAGCCTGGGCTAATTGGATGGTAGATAGGTTTTCAGTGATTGGTGGGGTCTAAAACATTTGTGAAAGGCATGGATGGGGTTGAAACTTTGTTTTATAGACTTGTAGTTATTGGAGGCAGTGTCTCTGCTGCCTGAGAAGTCAAATATCCCTCTAACTGAGGCATAATGAGAGTCTTTGGAGAGCATTTCGTCCACTATATACATCTGTTCTACCCACCAGCCTTGCAGGAGCGCTATGGCAAAGAGTCTGGGAAGCCTGTAATTGCCAGTGAAGGCCAAGGGGACGTCCCAGGGAACCTGGCCCATGGTGTCCTGCCCGCCATGCCACTGGCAGAGGTGGAACTGAAATGGGAAATGGAAAAGGAGGAAAAGAGATTGCTTTGGGAGCAACTGCAAGGCTTGGAGGTAAATGTGTGTGTGAAGAAGTAAGAAGACAGTGTCATTCTGCCCGTGGGCCCACAGAGATGTGCCTTCATCATCTCTTATGCTGGTAGATTAGAGGTGCAGGGTGGCAGGGCGAGGCTCAGGCCTTCCCCTTCCCCTGCTGATAACCACCCTTATCCTTCCCTGCAGAGCTTGAAGCAGGCTGAAACGTCCAGGCTTCAGGAGGAACTTGCTAAGGTGGGACTGCTAAGCTTGCCCTGGGCTCTGCCCCTCCACACTTCCCACTTGCCATGCCTCCCCTGGCAGGGCAGAGAGCCTCAGTTTCATCATCTGTGAAATCTGTTCATCCCTCCATTCATTTAAGCATGTATAGACTTTTCGTAGGGACCAGAGACCCATTTGTGAGGAAGCCAATCATGATCCAGCTTTCTGGGCCTCGCAATGGCCATTCTATGATGTGGTCATCAGTAGATAAACTTTCAGCATAAATACTAGGCCTTGGAACCTGAGGGAGCTGGGTGAAGATCATGTTGTTGCTTCTGACCAAATTACTTCACTCTTTCCCTATTTGTAAAACCCAAGTACTCAAATCTCAAGACCATTTTGAAGAGCCAGTGAGATAGCATCAGTAAATTCTGGTTTCCAGAAAGATTTAGTAAGAAGCATCTATAAATAGGAAGTTTTTTTTTCTTTATTGATATTATTCTAATTGTTGTCACTTGTCTGTACCCCACAGCTCTCAGAGAAACTGAAAAAGAAACAAGAAAGGTATTTTTTTTCCCCAGAGGCAGGGAAGGGTTTTGTGGCACTGGGGGAGACTGACTTGTGGAATTGACCCATCTGTTTTTCTCTGCCCAGTTTTTGCCGTCTACAGACAGAGAAGGAAACACTCTTCAATGACAGCCGGTAACTACCATGCTTGGGGGTGTTGGTGGACAGTGGGGACAGTGCCCGGCAGTTAACTGAAGACCACAGGGCTGAGCTGGGAGACTGGGCTTTAGACCATGACCAGTGTGCCCCAACAATGCCCCAGGAACAAGATTGAGGAGCTACAACAGCGCAAAGAAGCTGATCTCAAAGCCCAGTTGGCTCGAACTCAGAAGCTGCAGCAGGAACTTGAGGCTGCCAATCAGGTGAGGGGCTGGTCTCTGAGTTTGCGGGGCCAGGGGCCAGGGCTCGGAGTCCAGACAGCTCTGCTGTCTATGCAGGCCTGTTGGGGAAGCTAAGATTTCTTGTGTTGGAAATATCGGTACTGCTCTGGTTCTAGGCACTTACCCCTGCCCAGGAACTAGGAAAAGTGTTCCCATGGCAAGCAGTCTGCATGACTTAAGGACACCATGAGGCCTGAGGACTAAGGGGCTGTACGCTACAAGTTTGGATGAATCTGAAACTCTAGGGGATGGGAGATAGGGTCCTGGGAAAATCTGGTCCCTGGGGACTGGAATCAGGAGTTGGAGTGAGTCTGAATAACCTAGAGGTTGGTGACTGAGAACTCTAGGGGCTGAAGACATGGCTGGGTGAGTGGTCCTGAGAGCCCTGGAGGCTATAAACAAAACACTGGTGAATTAGACATTCAGGGACTAGAGCAATTGTCTAGGTGGGTCTGAGGCTCTTGATGGTTGGGGGTGATGGGACTCTAAAGCCTGAAGGCTTTTCCTGTAGAGGAGGTGAGTCTGAGGCCCCTTGGAATGGTTTGTGGGTCTAAGGCCCTTAAGAACTAGGGACAGAGTCTGAGTAGAGGTGTTACTCCCAGGAGCTCGGTCTTTAATTCAGGGAGTCTACAGATCCCTGGAGACTGAGGACAAGAGTAGCAGGCATGGGGTCAGTCTTAAACTTAGCCAGGAACTGGAAAGCAGACAATTGTATGAATTTTAGGCCTATAGGGCCTGAAACTCTTGGGAGCTAGGGACATAGGATTTGAGGTTGCCTGCAACTCATGGGGGTTGAGGCCAGGAGTCTGGGTGAAACTATAGTCCTTGGCTGCCCTGGGACCTCCAAACTGAAATCTAGGTGAATGTGAGATCTGTTTTGGGTGGGAGGCTAAGTGAGTTTCAAATCCTCAGGCCTAGTGGTGCCTGAGGTGCTTGAAGCTGACATATAAGGGTTGAGGCTATCTGAGGCCACTGGGGGAGATAACCTAGAATCTGGGTGAATCACATCTCTGATGGCTGGGTAGTCTGTGATACAAGAATTAGAATGTTAGAGATGCACTACTGGATGGTCAAAGAGGGAATTTGTGTAGCTACAAGCACCAGGGAGGCTGAGGTCTGGAATGGGCTCCATTCATCTGTCCTCCACAGAGCTTGGCAGAGCTAAGAGATCAACGGCAGGGGGAACGCCTAGAGCACGCAGCAGCTCTGCGGGCCCTACAAGATCAGGTACATTGTCCTGGGCGCACTCAGGGAGGTGGGGGGCGAAGGTAGAGGCAGCCCCAGTGGGTGTTATGCAGGCAGGCATAACACCCTGCTTTTGTGGTCCTGGTTCGTGCGTGCATGCGTGTGTGTGTGCGCTTACATGTGCGTGTGCATATGTCCTTTTTTATTTGGCCATGGGAGGTCTTGTCCCCCTGTTCTCTCTCACCTTTTGTGGGGTGCAACCAGGTGTCCATCCAGAATGCAGATACACAGGAGCAAGTGGAAGGCCTTTTGGCTGAGAACAATGCCTTGAGGACCAGCCTGGCTGCCCTGGAGCAGGTACAGGACACCGGTGCCCTCGCTGACCCCTGGCCAGTTGCCCATTGCTTGCTTCCAGCTGGTGTCAGGCCTGGTGGGTTGGGCCCCAAGCTGTTCTTCATGCCTCTGCTTCTGTTTGATCCTCAGCTGCTCTTTTCTGTTGGTGCTTACACCTCTTTTCTCTCACATCCATCCCTACTTTTCTTGCATTCTGTGTCTTTTGCTGAAGCGCATGAGGTGTACCGATCTCATGTGTAGACTCAGTGAATCACTTGCCCAGCTCCATACAGCCATCACACAGAGCAAGTTGTAGGACACCTAGATTGCCCCTTCCTAAACAGTACTGCCCCAGAAATAACTACCTCCAGTAGCATAGATTAGTGTGGCTGGTTCTTAACTTCACATAAATGTACCTGGCTTTGTTCCTATAACATTATATCAATAAGATTTGTCCATAGGTAGCACTGGTCTGTCCCTTTGTATCTATGTCGTGTTCATAATGAGAGTATACCACATTCACCCATTCTCCTAGTAATCTCTTTCTTTCCCTGTTTTCCTGGTTGAAATTCTCTCTCTCTCTCTCCTCCTGGCTCTGTCCACTTCTCTCCCTGTCTCCCTGGAACTGGGAGGCTCACACCCTGTGACTGGCCCCTGGGACCTTTCACTCAGCTTCCCCCACCTCCAGATCCAAACAGCCAAGACCCAGGAACTGAATACACTCCGGGAACAGTCGACTGGGCTCACAGCTGAGTTGCAGCAGCGGCAGACTGAGTATGAGGACCTCATGGGACAAAAAGATGACCTGAACTCCCAGCTCCAGGTGATGCCTCTGGCTCCGAGCTGGTGCCCTCTGTTCCCTGTGCTGGCTCAGAGGAATCGTGCCTAAGGTGCAGTGGGAAGATGATGGAGTCAGGAGGACCTGGATACCAGTCAACCCCCCCAACTTACTGGCACCCATGTGTCCTTGAGCTAGTCATGTCCCTTCTCTGAGATGAAGCCTCTTTGGTCGGTTAGGATTACGTAATAGAGCCAGAACAAGAGTGGCCTAAGTAAGATGGAAGTTCTGGCCCCCCAGGTAAGAGTCCAGGTGGGTTGTCAGGGATGGACTTCAGTACCAGTGACCCGGCTTCCTTCTACATTGCTGCCCTGCCACCTCCACACCAGACCTCTCTCTTGGCTTCCAGATGCCTGTTCCAGTACCCCACCACCATATTTATATTCTATCTGGAAGGATGAAAGGGGAAGGGACCAGACTGTCCTTTTCTTTTATGAGCATAACCTAAATGACACTCAGCACTTCTGCTCACAGCAGCTAATCCCATGGCCACACCTAACCACATGCAGGGAGACCTCAGTGAGACGACTACAGAGTCTATTGCTTGGGAAGCAGGAGCGAGAATACCAGGGAGCAGCTAGCAGTCTCTGCTGTGATTCTCATGTGGAAATAGCCATTTTACAAGGGCTAGGGGCAGATGGTCCACCAGAAGTGTTCTGGGTTGCTGGCACCTCCTGGAGGCTCTTTGTCAAGCTCTCCCCCTTTGCCCCCATGTCAGGAGTCATTACGGGCCAATAGTCGACTGCTGGAACAACTTCAAGAAATGGGGCAAGAGAAGGAGCAATTGACCCAGGAACTACAAGAGGCTCGGAAGGTGAGGCAGCATGGGGCAGGCGGGGAGGTTATGTGGGGAACCGTGGACCTGGTCCCCTGGGATGGGGCAGGTGGTGTCAGAAGCCTACAGGGATGGGGGTGGATGGGAGGTGGCTAGTTCTGTGAGGATGGGGGGCTTAGCTCCCTCTGTGGGGATGGGGACGAGGTAGACTTTGGCTCATTCCTGGATGTGGCATTGGGAATGGAGGGTGACTGACGTCTTCCTACCCCACACTCCTGGCCCCCAGAGTGCTGAGAAGCGGAAGGCCATGCTGGATGAGCTAGCAATGGAGACTCTGCAGGAGAAGTCCCAGCACAAGGAAGAGTTGGGAGCCGTCCGGCTACGACACGAGAAGGAGGTGCTGGGCGTGCGGGCCCGCTACGAGCGCGAGCTCCGAGAGCTGCATGAAGATAAGAAGCGGCAAGAGGAGGAGCTCCGTGGGCAGATCCGTGAGGAGAAGGTGGGTGGTGCCTCTAAGACCTGGGGGCTACTGTGCTGCTGATGGGCCAAGGGGTTGGCATGATGAGATGCCCACTCTTCCACCTGCCTGGCCCATGGCGATCTGCCTCTCCCAGGCTCGAACACGGGACATGGAGAATCTTCAGCAGACAGTAGAAGAACTTCAAGCTCAGGTACACTCCATGGATGGAGCCAAGGGCTGGTTTGAACGGCGCTTGAAGGAGGCTGAGGTGAGTTGCCGCCTGGTGAGACTCAGAGGCTGAGTTAGGAGGCATCCATGCCAAACCAGGGGACCAGGAGAGGTCATGCTCTGATTTGGGGTTGTCCCCTGGTTCCCTGGCTCACCAGCAGCCCTCTGGAAGGGGCATGTGGGGTGTGGCCAGGGAGGGCAGATTGTCGGATGTGCCAACTTGAAGAGATACTGCTTCCTTCTGAAACTGTACTCCTATCAGGAAATTATTGTAATATATTGATTTTGTTCAAACAAGAGCTTTAACTTCCATTTTCTAGAAAACTCAATATAATACATAAGGGAAAGTGTCACATAGCAGAGAAGGGCAAAGATGCTAGACCCAGTTGATAACTGGGATGGATTCTGGCCTGGCCAATTTCCATCTGTGTGACCTTAGACAAGTTATTTAACCTCTCTGTGGCCCATTTATCAGCAGCAGCAAAAAAAGTATTATTGGTATAATACTGGCTGTCTAAGTATTATTGAAGAATTATATAACATAAGTCAATATATGTAAAATCCCTACAATATTCCTGTCATGCAGTACATGCTGTTATGTTTTGCTAGATAAAATAAAATATAGGGCCTCCCTGGTGGCACAAGTGATTATGTCTCAGCACTATGAAGATTTTGACAACCACTGTAGTGTGAGTTCGATCCCCAGCCAGGGAGCTGACCCACACGGCGCAGCAGACCTCTCCTGTCTCTCCACTGCTCCCCTCAGCAGTGTATTTCAGTCAATCTGCCTGTTCTACTCCCCACTCTGTCTCTGGTGAATCCTCTCACCCCCTTGCACCTCTGGCCTACACCCCGACTCTTGTATGCATACATAAGTAAAATAAAATAAAATCTTTAAAAATAAATAAAAGATAAATGCAGGGCCTCCCTGGTAGTGCAGCGGTTAAAGTCTCAGTGCTGTCAAGCTATTTCCAGCCACTGTGGCAAGGGTTTAATCCCTGGCCAGGAAGCTGACCCACATGGTGCAGCAGACCTCTCCTGTCTGCCCACTTCAGCAACGTATTTGCCTGTAGCCCCTCACTCTGATTCTGGTGGTACTCTTACTCTCCGCACCTCTAACCTAGACCCCAGCTCTGGTATGCATAAATAAATCTAAAAATATAGATAAATGCAAATGTTGATCTACAATGCAAAGCACACAGCCCTAGATGTGACTGCTGTCTACTGCAGGAATGTCACTTCTGCAAGTCACTTCTGCCCCTACTGTGGTGCCTCACAGCTCTCAGTTACTGGGTGTGGTGTCCTCTGGGGGCTGTGGCCAGACCCGGGACTTGTCTTACAGGACTCTCTGCAGCAGCAGCAGCAAGAACAAGAGGAAGCCCTCAAGCAGTGTCGTGAGCAGCACACTGGCGAGCTGAAGGTGCCTGTTGCCTTCCTCTTTCCAGGGAGGGATGAGCCTCTGTGGGAGGATGATGCCCAGCCAGAGGCCTGGACTCACTTCTGTTTTGTAGAGCAAGGAGGAGGAGCTACAGGGTGTGCGGGATGAGCTCCAGCAGGCCCAAGAGGAGCGGGACTGCCACCTGAAGACCATCAGCAACCTGAAGCAGGTCACTGCTGCCCAGGCGCCACCAGCCTCAGCATGCAGTAATGGGGTGGGGAGGGAGAGCATTGCACGTAGCCCCGGCAGCACCCACCAGCCTGCTCTCTCTACCCCACAGGAGGTGAAGGACACAGTGGATGGGCAGCGTATCCTGGAGAAGAAGGGCAGTGCAGCGGTACGACCAGGGTGTCCCCACACGGCACCCCACCTGTGGGCCTGTCGGGCCTCAGCCGCATCCTCTTCCCTCTCCCCCCACAGCTCAAGGACCTCAAGCGGCAGCTGCACCTGGAGAGGAAGCGGGCTGACAAGCTGCAGGAGCGGCTACAAGACATCCTCACCAACAGCAAAGGCCGCTCCGGTGAGGCACCGGGAGATGGAGGGGGCAGCCGTGCTGGGCCCGAGGCGGAGAACTTCCTGTCCATCACTGTGCTGGACTCTTTCATCTTCTGTCCCTCTTGAACTTGGCCTATCATTTACCTTCTCTCGTTGCTGTTGTTTCTATCTCTCTATTATCTCTTTCTGTCTCTCTCCTTTTTGCTCTCTTTGATTCTCTTTTGTCCCTGCCTTTCTGTCCCCACTTTGTCCCTTTTTCCTCCCAGCTTTTTCGTCTCTTGGTTTCACTTCTCCCTGTCTTTGTGTTCCCTCTCTCTGTCTCTTGCTCGCCACTACCCTCAGATGCTCCTACACTTTCCCCAGTGTCTCTGAATTTTTTGTACCCATGATCTCATTCGATAAATATAGACAACCTCAGAATCACATCCAGTGCCCCTGATAGGAAACCCACTAAGTCTCTGTCCTTCAGAAGCTCCCGGTTAAGCGAAGCAGACACAAAGGGGCAGCAACATGGCGTGTTATCATCATGCAGCTAAAATCCATGTTTCTTCTGTTACTTAAGGCAGAAGATGCAACCAAAAATTTTGAGTTGTTTCAGACATTTTTGTTGTTGTAGAAATTAGGCTATCAAAACATTTATTTTTTAAAGATTTATTTATTTATACATTCAGAACTGGGGTACAGGCCAGAGGAGCAGGGGTTGAGAGGATTCACCAGAGACAGAGTGGGGAGCAGAACAGGCAGATCTACTGAAATCCACTGCTGAGGGGAGCAGCGGGTGAGACAGGAGAGGTCTGCCGCACCATGTGGGTCAGCTCCCTGGCCAGGGATCCAACTCGCACTGAAGCAGCTGCGGCTGGCTTCATAGTGCTGTGCTTTAACCCGTTGCGCCACCAGGGAGGGCCCCCTATCAATATTTAAGTAAACAAAGCAGATGCAGTGATGGCTCCAGTGCATATCCCATGTCACAGGCTCAGAGGAAACTTACTTCCTCACCCCCGACAGCCATTCGGCTCTTGTTTGACATTCCTGGAGTGTAGTGTCTGCCCACTCTCTAACATGCAGAAGTTGCTGCAAAAGCAGAGGCCAGCTCAGTGTCAAACTGGATGTTTCTCTCACCAAAGCAGTGTCTCTCCAAGGCACCCTTTCCTGAAGTTGCCTCTCTTTATAATGGAGGAGTTTGGTTTCCACTGGGGTACAGACATTTTGTTGTTATTTGTTTGGTTAGAAGCTTGCACAAACCATCCAACAAATTTGAATTGTGTGCCTTAGATTCCCCTCGCCCGTTAGATGAGTTCTGATTTAATATATGGCTATGAGAGCCTGTCTCCAACTCTTTTCTGTCTGTCTCTACTCATATTTGTGTCTTTCTCTAGCATCTCTATTTGTCATCGGTTCCAGCTTGCTGTCTCTCTGGCATTTTGTCTCTCTGTGGGGGGTGCCCCTGTGCCTGCTCCAGCCATCTGTCTTCATACCCTGAGTCTGAGTGCATCCACCATTTTTATTTTTTTTACTTTGTTTTAAAGATTTATTTAAGCATACAAGAACTGGGTATAGGCCAGAGGTGCAGGGGGTGAGAGGATTCACCAGAGACAGAGTGGGGAGCAGAACAGGCAGATCGACTGAAATACACTGCTGAGAGGAGCAGTGGGTGGGTCAGGAGAGGTCTGCAGTGCCATGTGGGTGAGCTCCCTGGCCGGGAATCGAACTCATGCCACAATGGATGGCAGGTGAGACTTTAGCCCCTGCACCACCAGGGAGGCCTGTATCCACCCCTTTAGGCCCATGTGTGCCAGGCTTCCATCTTTCTCCCAGTCTTCTGTTGCATGTGTTCTCCTTTCTGTTTCTGTCTTTCATACTCTGTCGTCTGTTTTTTTTTTTTAAAGATTTATTTATTTATTCACAGAACTGGGGTACAGGCCAGAGATGCGGAGGGTGAGAGGCTTCACCAGAGACAGAGTGGGGAGCAGAACAGGCAGATCGATGAAGTACACTGCTGAGGGGAGCAGCGGGCGGGTCAGGAGAGGTCTGCCACGCCATGTGGTCACCTCCGGGGCAGGTGGGAATCGAACTCATGCGGAAGTGGCTTGAGTTTCTCAGTGCAGTGCTTTAACCCGCTGCGCCACCAGGGAGGGCCTGTCGTCTGTTTTTACCTTCCCCCATGCCCAAGTATTTCTTGGCCACTTTCTATATCCCTCAAATCTATTTCTGCTTCTTCTGCCAGTCACTGCCCTGGGAGCCTGGGGGATTCAGGCTCAGATTTCTCTTCCTCCTCTGTCCAGGCCTCGAGGAGCTGGTTCTCTCAGAGATGAACTCACCAAGCCGGACCCAGACAGGGGACAGCAGTAGCGTGTCCTCCTTCAGCTATCGGGAGATCTTGAGAGAGAAGGAGAGCTCAACTGCTCCAGCCAGGGTAAGATGCGGGGGAGAGCCCACGGCCCCAGCTTCTCCTACCCCACTCCTGGGACTCTTTTCCTCCTCTTGAACCATCTTCCACTTTGAGCCCAGCAACCATCTTTCCTGTCAACTCACCAACTTGGATTCAGGTTGCTAAGTGGGGAATGGGTCAGTGGCTCTCTCTGACCCTCTGTGTTGTCATTTGTGGCCATAATGTATGTCGCTCCAAGTAGGGGAGTTAGCCCTGCAGGAAGTGCCCTTGTCCAACTTATAGGGCTTTACCCCTTTTCCAACTTACAGTTATCACTTGTTACTGTCATCTAACCCATCAGCTTCCTTGCCAGCTACTTTGATTTGGAAATAACTTTTTATCTTTTTTGAAGATGTATTTATTTATTTATACATATAACTTCTGGGCTGTACGCCAGAGGTGCAGAGGGTGAGAGGATTCACTAGAGACCAGAGCGGGGAGCAGGACAGGCAGATCTATGAAATACACTGCTGAGGGGAGCAGCGGGTGAGACAGGAGAGGTCTGCTGCACTGTGTGGGTCAGCTACCTCGCCATTCCGGGGATCGAACTTGTGCTGCAGTAGCTGGTAGTACCTTGATAGTGCTGTGCCTATAACCCCTGTGCCACCAGGGAGGCCCTGAAAGTAGCTTTTTATTATTCCAGAAGTGGTCTGTGTACATGGTAGAAAAATTAAAAAACAAAACAAAACCCTGTTTTACTATGCAGGGGTCACCACTATAAAACCTTAGTTCACAACCTTCCAGACTGGTCTCTCTTTTTTAAAACCTCAAGGAGATCCCGGCCCTCCCTGGTGGCGCAGCGGGTTAAAGCACAGCACTAAGAAGCTAAAGCTGCTTCCGCATGAGTTTGATTCCCGCCTGCCCCGGAGGTGACCACATGGCGTGGCAGACCTCTCCTGACCCGCCCGCTGCTCCCCTCAGCGGTGTACTT